ACATTTTTGCTCCTTCCCAGCTCCCTGCCAGACAGTCCACATTTTTGCTCCTTCCCAGCTCCCTGCCAGACAGTCCACATTATTGCTCCTTCCCAGCTCCCGGACCATCTCAGGGTCCCTGAGGACCAGGTTGAGGAACACTGCCTTAAGGCACGAGGCAAGGGGACACCCAGGATAATATCCCAGTGCACATATGCACACACTCACAGAATCTCAGATAGAGAGAAAAGGAGGAAGCCATTGGACCAATCGTATGAGCCTACAATGTTAACCACTAAGCCGTATTGCAACACTTAGAATATTATTTGAAAAGCTGGTATAACATGGCTAAATTATAAGCATATTGTATAGGTTTTACCATTATTTTCATTTTGATCTTTGTTATGAATGCGTGCTTTGGTTTGTCCATAGGCACAATAAATTCTGTATTAGCATGAATGTATGTTCTATAAGGATTTAAATTGGAAATGTTTCTTGTAAAACATATTCTAGGGCTTTCCAGATATCCACAACATAAACACATGGACAAGCCCATTACGTGATGTCCAGTACAAGAGACTAATTTAATATGATCTGTTACATATGATGATTAAGTAAAAGCTGTGAGCATTAGGATCTTCAATGCCGAGAGACGCTCATATGTTATTACAGAGGGTCATTAGCACTGGATGCCAAATTATAAACACAGTTTAAAAAAAAAAAAAAAAAAGTCTTAAAATTGTTCAGATTACAAAGAAACAAAGAAAGAAATAGGAGACAAAATTAATAATCCCTTTAGAATGCATTTAGAAAATCTAAATTTCAGTTGTTCCCTTACGGTTGATTGTTCCATACAAACTATCAAAAAAATCCATCCATCCATTTCTCAAAACCACTTATCCTCTTCAGGATCACTGGGGGTCTGGAGCCTGTCCCAGAGGCCATGGGCACCTGGCATGGAACAGCCCAGAATGGGGCACCAACCCATGGCAGGGCACACTCACAGGCACATGCACAGGGCAATCTGGTAACTCCAATTAACCTCGGATAAGCGGAAGTAAATGGATGGGATGGATGGATGGATGGATGGATGGATGTTTTTGGACTGTGAGGAGAAAACCAGAGAACCCAGAGGAAACCCCAAGACAATACGTGGAGAACATACAAACTCCACACACGGAACCCGGGTGGAGACTCAAACCCCTGTCCCTGAAGTGTGAGGTGCTAACCACTGCACCACCATGCTGCCCCCCGCTATCAAAAGAAATGTCATTTAAATCTTGCAATTGTCAATTCAACGAACTGGTGGTCAGTTGGAGTCTACACTAATTCAAAAATTTGCAATTAATGGTCAATGGCAATCAGTACTGCAGTATACTTTTTCATTGCTTAATTATTCTGTTTAAGAAGAATGCATATTTCCAGAGGATCCTCGTAATTAAGATTAGGAAGAGCACTGCTAGTGTAGCTGCCACCAAAATCAATACACACACACAGACACACACACACACACACACACATTCGTACCACATATTTTTGATATGGTTCTTTGAGTTTAATATGCATATGTACTGAACGAATGCAGCAAATGCGGCCCCTTTGTGTGTTTCCGCTGAGCAACATTCAGAAAGGGACGGATGAAGCCGCACCGTTATGCATGCATGTGCACGTACGTCCTAATGCTGGAAGCTAATGTGAATTTAAGCAGCCTACAGCACAGGTATTTTAAATGCTGCACCCTTATGGATGCTTGGTACAGTTTTGTATTTTTTGAGACAATATTTGTGTTGCACAGTGTGAAGCTGAAAGCAGATCAGGTCGAGTTAGTTTTCTAAATTTGCACCTTAATGGACATTTATTTTATTTTTAATTTACTTGAGAGAATATTTATTTTTATTTACCTTTAAATAAATTTTAGGTTTCCTTTACTTGTTTGCAGCAGTACTGACAGACTTTTTAAGACAGACGGTCATAGATTATTAAACACTGGTTTACCGAACAAAGAAGCGAATGTATGTCTCACCCCTGCTGTACCGAAAACATACCGAACCGTGACTTCAGAACCGATACATACCGAACTGTGATTTTTGAGTACTATTACACCCCGTGTGTGTGTGTGTGTGTGTCTGTGTGTGTGTGTGTGTGTGTGTGTGTGTGTGTGTGTGTGTGTGTATTCTCTGCGTGTCTTTGCAGCCCTGATGGGGTAGCTTCTTCACTGGCAACCCAAAGCCACAAGTGAAACCCCTCTCACAGCCACGCTGAATGAGTGCATGAGGGTTCCTTGCGCAGTCGGTACTGCTTACATTAGAAGGAAATTGCACACATTCTTCCCCCCACAAAGGCCTTCTGACCCCCTGCTTGCTTGGCGGGGGGCCAAGGCGACTTGCTGTGGAAGACGTCCGACAAGCGGACTCTGGCCAGAGCGAGTATCAGCTTCCTTTGAGTAACTTTTCAAACAGCGATCCAAAAAAGTGGGGGTGTTACCGGTTGTGTTAGGGGGAGGGTGGCTTGGAAAAGGCACAAAAATGAATGCTATGTCCAGAAAACGGGTCCCAAAAGAGTAAACAGTGATGTGAAACAGAATCTACAAAAGAGACTCAGACTAATTAGCCATTAATTATATTTGAGTACTGGTTTTAACTGGCAGCCAGGGCTATGGTGTGTGTGTGTGTGTGTGTGTGTGTGTGTGTGTGTGTGTGTGTGTGTGTGTGTGTGGAGTTTGCACGCGCTCCCTGCGACACTCCAGTTTCCTCACATGGTTAAAAACATGTGGCTTGGCGACCGGCTGCTTCTAAATGGCCCGACGCTGCAGTGTACAGCGTATGTGCTATGCAGTGAACTGGCATCCCCTGCAGAAGCTCCCTAACCCTCTGTTTCCTGGGACGGGCCCCAGGTTCCCCGTAACTCGGTACTGTATAAGCAGTTATGGAAGATGGATGGATATTCTGGCCAGAATGTTTACAAAAAGTAAATCTGTAGCCTTAAGTAGAGAGAGCAGTAACACCTAATATAAAGGAAATATGTCCAGGCTTATCACTGACATTTACAGTCACTAACTGGATGGCTCTTCTGTTTTGCATCTCGAATCGATGCACGGTCATCATGAGTTTGCGCTTCCTTCCACAGCTGCTCCTAGATCTTGCCTTTCCCTCAGACTTCCATTCCCACCAGACCGTATCCACTCTTTGTGAAACATCAGCATGTTCAGCAGTTTTCATTATTGTGATCCATGACGCCATGGGTAATCACTTGATCAAGTTAGGAATCACAGCTGTGTGGAAGAACCAATATACATTTAACCCTGCCTTTTGGTGTATTTTTGGAATTTCCTGTGATTGTATTCTATAACTGGAGGCAGTTGTGCATAATGCATAATTATAAATCCCTGATTTAAATATAATTACAGGTTTCGGTTTAGAAGACTGGTGCCACGGTGGCTCAGTGGGTCGACGCGTCAGACCTGTAGGTTTGGGGATCCGGTTTCCCCCACAGTCCACTTACAGCCAGGCGCACTGCGCACAGTGTGGGAGTGTATGCAGTGCGATCGCCCCGTCCCGCTGAAGGGGCTCTCTGCCCGTGTGCCCTGCGCTGCTTTAGGCAGCTCCAGGCTGCTTATGTACTGGCTAAGCAGGGAGAAGATGGATGTATATTTAGACTGCAACTTCTTGCTGGTGTGGGATAAGTTTTATATATAAATAAATTGACATTATTGTATAAGGCGGAGGTAGAGAACACTTGTTTGTTTTTCTTTGTTTTTTTCGTCTGCGTGGACAATGGATAAATGAAGGGTTTAAACTCAAATTTTACATGATGTAGGGTGTATAATGACCAAAAGGTGCGGTCTACAGTGATGTAGAGAAAGTATAAAAATAAATCTTGACTGCAAAGTCTAGTCAATCTTTATATAGGTGCAGTTACATTGTCAAGGGACTGCAGTCAAAAACATGTACAGTATCATCTCCTACTGGAACAGCATACAAGATGCCAAAAGCTGTTTTCTCCAAAGACTCAATTTCTGAGAAAGCTACAGTCACAAATAATATGCTATAAATTTCACTACTTTTGTGAACCATCAGCTTTCTGACTTCTTCTCTCAAGTTTAAATATTGCAAACTGTATCAGGATGACTATGGTACAGCTCACAGGAAGCTAAGCTGCATCAGTAACTATGGTGCAGCTCATGAGTTGCCAAATTGCATCAGGGTAAATATGGTATAGCTCATAGTTCATGGGCCCTCAAACTTTTTAGCCCACAACCCCCAAAATAAGTGCAGGACTCACGACCCCCACTAAGGGGTGTGACTGTCAATAGGCACTTTCGCAACACTGGAACTTTTTTCTGGAGCTAGAACCTTTTTCCGGAACCAGGGACTTTTGTCGTATTCACTGTGCAGGTGATTAGTAGTGCCTCCGAGGCAGTTCCAGAACACTTTTTAGTACTTACTCCAGAATAGGTACTTTTCATTCAACACTAACTATTGGGGAGGTGCTTACAGCAGTAGCTTGCTGATTGGTTGACCACAAGGACCAGCGCTAATAAGGAAGTTTTGCGGAAGTGCAGAAAAAGATCAAACCAGGTTCTGGAACTTTGGTGCCTAATGTGTCTGAATAACAAGACCTAAGAACTGCCTATTCGCACACTAAAAATAGATATGTAAAATTAAAACATATATATAAATAACACTGCCTCATAATCACAATCAAAAAAGGAGGTTTCTGATAATTCCCACCACTGATTTTAGCTCAGTAAAAACCGCTGAAGTAATTACAAGATAAAAATTAAACCTAAAAATATAATATATATCTAAATTTGAAATGCATATGCCAGAGCACTATAATTCAAACAATGCCCCTAAATCTATGTCCTGAGTATTACAAACAGTGTTAAAAACTATAAAAAATAGAGATAGAATTTCATTCTATCCTGGTTTAAAAACACCTTTAGCAATTGTACAGAATATATAAAGGCATACCAAATGATGTTTGAGCACCATTACACTCAGTAGGACCGTTTTCCATACCTCGAAACTTCTTGGGAGGATTACTGAGGTCTCCTGCATCTGGCTGTACCACACACCGGTCATCTACAAGTCTGCAAGAAGAAATGTAAAGCAGATCATGGAAAAACATTTTTGAATATCACCAATCAAAATCTATATCCTGAATTACCAATAGGTGATCATACAGTAAGCCTGGAGTTGCAGTTAGTCGTCAGGCCCCACCCCCCATAAAGACTCAGTGCGCCACTCATTTAAATAAAGATTTCATTTACATTGCCCCTGGCCACAAAGAACACAGATATACCACCTGTCTGATACACAGTGGCCATTGTGTCAGCTCAAAGATGAAAGGGGGTCAAGGCTGCTCACTGACAGACGTTGCCAAAACAAAGTGCCTTAGAATAGAAAAAGTGCTTTAATAGGCTGTGCGGTGAATGTCAGTTAATGTGCTTTGCCTGCTAAAACAGACTGACATTCGCAGTTACGGAATTGGCTGCTCGTCATATTGAAGAGTATGTTCTCATCCCCAGTTTCCCCTTGTGAAGTATATCTTTGCCTCAGTGCGAAACCAAACCTTATATAAAGATCAGCCATTACATTAAAGTCACCTGCAGAATATTGTATAGGTCACCCTCATGCCACGACAACAGCTCTGACCCATCCAGGCATGTACACCACACATGTGATGGTCTCCAGAGGCTTCTGGCACCAAAACGTTAACATCAGATTAAGTCCTGTAAGTAGAGAGGCCTCCATGGAACATACTTCTACACAACCCATAAATGCTCAATCAGATTGAGATCTGGGAAATTTGGAAGCCACAACTTCAAGAACTGACTAGTCACTTGCCTACCATATAATGGCACCCTTCACATGTGCCATTGTAATGAGATAATCAATATAATTCGCTTCACCTATCAGTGACTTTAATGTTATGGCTGACCGGTGCATAATGTCTGTAACTACTCCAGGATGTTATTGGCCTCTCATGGGGCTTATTTTATGAACTCGACTCCCCCAAAGCATCTAGAAAAACATTGCATGCTAAGTGACTTTACACAATAATACATTATAAATACGTCTCTGCGATGTTCTCAACACACTACTTCTGTTTGAAAGCTGCATGTTTTTTTTCCAACTAGAAATTAAACTCGCTCCAGGTACTGCACTCTGCACTCACGCATTAATAAAATAGTTAGATTAGACAACGGAGGCAAAGCTGAATGGAGCTGCAGACCATAAAATTTAACAGGTCACTAGAGTTTAGGAGGTTTAATAAACTGAAATGGGAAAAGTATACAACAGGAGTTTTATGGTTAGTCACACACACACAAATTCTTTCGAAGGGCACTTTATTTATTTTAATGTCTTTTTTATAAACCAGTCATCACCAAAGGAAGGCATGCTACAAATAGCCTGCAAGGAGGGAGGAAAGACCCTAAATATTTTGCTGAAAGTTTTATTTACTTAAATGCATCCGTTGCAAAACAATGAACAAAACCAAGAACTTTAAGGTTGGTGGGTGGATGGATATTCCTGCTTACAGGCTTTCAGTGGCTTAATATAACCTCCCCCAGGACATCAAATTCTATTTCAGTCTTAATTATTTTCCTGCCAAATTTTGCATGGCACTCAAGATGCTAGATTTGAAACCTGGCTCACAGTTTGCTTCCCTGAACAGGAAAACGATGTCAAGAATATATTCCGTGAACTGACAGAGACCAGCATGTGCCTGAGTTTGTGTTTTCACATCACCTTCCATCACAGGTACATTATGGGCCAGATTCTTTTCGTTCAACTGTAGTTTGGGAAGCCTTCGTTATTTGAGAGTTTCCTTACCTTCTCTGAGTGCTGAATGCATGTTTTCCACATTTGCATGAAAAAAAAAAGCTGGCAAAACAGATGTGTACAATACTTTAAGTGACAGACGCAAGCACCTTCAACAGTCACTAATTCAAACAGTAACTGTAATCAGACAGGGCAGAATTAACAAGGGCCCTCAAGGATACGTTCTCATCAATTTGCAAGACAAAGCAGATCAAGGTTGGCATTTCTATTACCAGTGAGGTCATAAGCACACCCCGTGTCCTTCACTGTAATGCAGGAAAGCAGTAAATAAGCCCAAGTCAAAGCAAACAAAACAACAAGCAAGCCCCCAAGATGAACACATTTGTGTATTGTCATATAGACTCTCAGGAATGTAATCAGAATACAGTTAAACGTCAGCTTAGTAACAATGTCAATTTAAAAAAAAAAAAACAACTAGTGCAGTCTGCTATTTCTGCCTTTTTAAAAACCATATACTGTAGTATGGATGGGTTGCCAAAGTAGACACTCCCATCTCAAAGTACAGTACGCACCCCACACATTTATAGGACTAAATGAATTCCATTGAAGATATGCAACACATCTTTTTGGGATGGTCAGATGCATCAGAAATATCGTGCCCAGGAAATCAAACTTCCCCCAGTGCGACCACCCTTCAGCTATTAATAGAATAGAATTGGTGATACTTTGTGATAATCCACGTGGAAATTCAATAGTCGCTTTGCCGCATCTTGGTCTCCATGCTGTGAGATTGCGCTCGTCTGCAAAGAGGCAGCCACCTTGGGGCACCCAGGGACCTGGGGCTTATGGACCCTGCCTAAGGACCCATGGATTTGTGGCTATTCTGCCAAGGTCAGGCTCAAACCGACAGCCTTCTGATCACAGGCACACAGGTTTAGCTCGCTGAGCCACACAAGTGAAAGGTCTTACTTCCTCTAATAACTTAATGGTTAATTTTAATAAACCTGGAAATTATTTTGTGGTCAGGGGAGATTGATTAAAATTACGATGCTGATGTATAATCAAAACTACCATTTTGAACTTTGAATTTTTTTATTTGGCGCACGGACAGCCTAAATCCACAGAGTGTCCTCTCAGGACCCACTGTAAAGTAAATAGGAGCAAGGTATTGATTCCACCGCCTCCAAATATTTAAAACGCACGGCTCCGTGTGCTAATGTTTCTGCTTAGGCGAGTGCAAAACAGACTACAATTCAATCATAAAATATTAAAGATGTCAAAATTAATATTGCAGTCTCTGGGTCGGAATTTAATCAAGTGGTTTGGAAATGCACACTTTAGCTTGACTGAAACGCTATAAAAAGTATCTACGTTACTGAAATGCCTTGTGTATTTTTCCACTGGGACACTTCCACACTTGTGTGGGAGGGTCATGCATGAATAAAGTCATCATAAACAATATGTTCCACCTCTCCCCATATTTTGCTAGTGCCTCTGCATTAATTTCATCTTCTTAGCCTACAGTCACGACGGCCATACACTGCACTGATGAGCCCAATGCCTCATGAGCCGGCTCTGACCTCAGGGAGAGCCCTACTGTGAGTGATCAAAGTATCCAAGAGTAAAAGTATGTATAGTAAAGCTCTTACCCCATTTTTTTACTTTTCTCTCCTATAATACACCAGATAGCTCATTCAATAAAGTAGATGGACAGCATTCGCTTTCTCAAAGGATTAATCCTTCAGAAAGTGCATGTAATGCATCAAGAGTGCGATCAAAACACAAGACCAGAAGGGGTGTGGCCAAATCAGTCACCCCAGGAAGTAATGGCAGTCTACAGAGTACAGGGATTACAGCTCATTTGTGTGGATCAATGGACACAAACTATCAGTTAACACCACAGAATTTCAGGTTACACTTTATTTGATGGGGCACAAGAATTGTAGTAGTACACGCTTACTTAATGCATTAATAAACCAGAAACTAAGTATTAGTTACATACTGATTCCATGTTCGTTCATCATTAATCAATCATGATAGTTCCTGCATTTCAAGCAGTCTACAAACTAAGCCCTTGGTGTCTCCGGGTGAAACATTAATATGCCTCTTCCAGACCAACACCAAGCCTGCAGAAATGTCGAACAAGATGTCTAATTTCCTTCACATTGGGAGCATCTGCTCCCATGCAGGGACTATATTAGTTCTTTAGTAGTAACTCAGCAAGTCATTTGTGCCCCTTCAAGCAAAGTATTACCAAATTTTATGACAGGGCAGGACTATGACAGGACTGTGTTCATACTACTACTATTGTGTGCTACAAAAAATTGGGACAGGTGAGAGATCACTGCTACATGTCAGTGCAGCTACAGATAAGTATTGCACTGTTCATATGGACGATATAGTGCAATGTCAAGTCTGCTACATGACAAGATTATATGTTCCTTTCAAAAAGCCGACACACACACACAAACACAGGTTCTTGTAGTGAGTATGGCATCAAGTGTAAACCCAAGCATCTCACATTTGCCATGCTTTCTAATACAAAAATCAGTTTAAGCCAAACTTACCCTAAAGTGCTGATGAATCCATTGGTCGAGCCTTCTGCATAGAGGGAGCAGATGTCTCCAATGTGAAGGAAACTAGACATCTTGTCCGACATTTCTGCAGGCTTGGTGTCAGTCTGGAAAAGGCATGAAGGTCATATTAATGTTACGCCCAGAGACACTGAGGGCTTAACTTGTAGACTGGGTGCACATAGTGTCATTGGAGCGAATAAGGTAGATTTTAAACACAGATGTGTTTAGAACTAGCTCTGCAATGCAATTTAGCAGACGGTAATGAATAAGGGAAGATATGGATTATATATGTGTGTGTGTGTGTGTGTGTGTGTGTGTGTGTGTGTGTGTGTGTGTGTGCGCGCGCGCGCGTGAGAGAGAGGAGGGCCTGCAATCTCCAACACTTAGAAATATCCCTCAGGAGTCGCTCCGCAGAGCAAAAGTTTTACATTTCCCTTACTGGCGAGCAGAAAGCTAACGTTGCAAACCGTTGGGGTTATTTGCATAAAACCACTTTATTGGTTAGTCTACTTTGAAACTGTAAGACAGAACAGTTAATGAGCTCTTTAGTTACCTAAACATTGTATGCATTATTTATAATTACTTACTTGAGGCAATGGTCAGTTGAAGGTACAAGAGACCCAAACTACAAGTCTACAATCACATGATCATTCATTGTACTGTGACCTGATGCTTAACTAAATTAAAACCAGATACTGGGTTGAAGAACACAGCTTACTGCTACAAGCCTCAGCAGAAGCACAGCACACTCAAAAAGGCACATCTCTGAGATTAGCAACCAGTACCATGTAAGGCATTATTTTTAGTGACCAAGCAGTGTATTGTGGGAAATGCACTTGCCTCCAAACAAACGCAAGACTTAAGGAAAAAACATGCACCCAAAATAGATTCTGATGGGAGGATTAAAAAAAATACTGGAGGTTCAACTTCCTACATAGCGTAGTAATTTGAAAATACTGATATATGAGCTGCTATACAATTAATGCAGCATATAAATTGGAATGACACAAATACCGCAACATCACCTTTCGAGAGCAAATGCTGGATTAGTGTAGAAACACTTAGTTGACATTACTGTCAATCAGTAACCATATCTTACATGAAGCGGAAACGTAGAAGGGGGGTACAAATTCTTTTAAAACAGCTTTTCTTCAGGCTGGGTTGCAAAGACACACAATGAAATATAGCAAATCCAACCAATAATTAGGAACACACACATAGATGCATGCAAACGCTGCAAATTAGCAAACAAATGAAATGCAGGGGTAACACAGCAGGCTATTTTATTTATAGCTGCCATTGTTTACCAGAAAGTCCACTGTAAGGCTGGCTCTCAATCACCTTCCCAGTTTGCAGGCACCACATGGAGGTTTGCTGTGACAGATCGCACAGCTGGCATGTGGCACATTTGCCGCTGGTCGACGACTTAACACCAGTGAAGTGCGAGTGACAAGCACTCAGAGCAGAGCTCAGACAGCCCGTGGCTCTCCAAGAAGCTCACCAATTAAACAAGGGGTCATTGACACTAGTCTGATACAGACTGATAAAAACACATTTTATTTTTTTTTAAACCACAATTAGCACCTTCCAGACATGGAAAAGAAATCACTTTCTGTGAATCCTGTAATTTCATTTTCCTTTCTTGAAACATAGTATTTCAGTCCTTTATTTGAATCACTCATCCGTGTTTGACAGAATTATTGCTACAAGGTGAGAGACCCTATATTCTCATTATGTCACAGACAGTAACACAGACACATCCTTTGAAGCTAAGAGTATACAGCGTGCATACAGTATAGAATACAGGGTGTCACAACAAAGAGATAACATGGCACTTCATGACAGCCCTTTCTGTAGCTGTTTGTTTACAAGTAAAGCAATGCCGCATTCTCTCCACAATGTGTAAACGTATATGTATGTGTTTCTTTCGAAAAGTATTAATCCAAGATCAGGATGTAGTCCTGAAAATTCTTGCACAATTTCCAATATGCATAAGCAGCAAATACACGGTTTTTTCCCCCCGATAAATACCTAAACCGTTTGTTGTACACAAAAACACTATAAGATTTATCATCTAGAACAAATTAAAATCAGAACGACGTTGCAGAGAAAAGTAAAACTGCAGAAACAGTACATGTTGGTATGAACCAGCATATTAGATATTCATCATCTTCCTGTTCAGAGTCACGGTAGTTTAAATATTGAACTGTTTAACTTCACATGTTATAAGTCATCGAGGGGAGAAAAGGACACACTAACAAAGAGTACAACTAACGTGTGTAAGTAATTGCATGTTATAGGGTAAATAAAAAGCGTGTTGCTGCAAATCTGTCTTTTGAAATTTCCAATGGTTATAAAAACCAGAGATCTCTAATGATAGACGTAAGTAATCTGAAAGGCGCTGACAGTGCGAAATAAATCGCTCTCCAATGTTTTTTTTTCACGTTCGTTAACTCTACACATTCTGCAAGACGCGTATTACAAAGTATGGTAGAAAAAGTCTCAAAATTGTCGCCGTTTAAAAGAAAAGAAAAAAAAAAAGAAAAACACGCCTGAGGGAGCGGGATAGCCTATGACCTGTCAACAGCATAAGGTCTTGCCTTCGCTTTAGGGGCAAAAATAAAAAAAAGGCAATTACATCGTTAAACCTCACGATTTTAAGATTGACAGTCACATTAAATACAATACGGATCTCGGATCTTGCATAACGCGCTGAACACGATGGTCTCTGTAAGCTTTCTCTATCAGACCATGCATGTGTCCAGAAACGTTATTGATATGGATGTAGCCAGTCATATAACGGGCATCAAAAACTTCGCGTAAGTCATCCAATCGCTCCGAGTAGCAACCAAACAACTTATACGGTGATATATTTCCGAAATAATATAATTATGGAGTTTCTCATACGTCTCGAACATGGAAATACCCAATATGGAAATGTAATGAAAACTATTTAGTCATGTTCGATGCAAATCCTGAAATCATAAATGACTTAGTTAGAATATTCATATTGACAGAACATGATAGCATTCTAGTTGCTTTAAACTCATCTGTTGTTTCCCGTTGTCCAACACACAAAAAAACTTGTGACGAGAAAAACAAACTGCTTCAGTTCGGTGTAGTTTAAATGTACTCATGACAAGCCTGGATGCCTTCGTCTAAGAATTGAAGGGTTTGATGCAAGTTTACCTGAACAACTGATAAGGCACGTATTGCGGAGCAGAGATAGCGGTGGGATTAGCAGAAAAGGTCGTCCAAGTTTCTCTCTTCATTTAAATCCATGATGTGGGAAATTCCAAGAAAAAAAGCGTCGGGAGTGTAACAACTTCGCCGTAGCGACCAACACGAGCGAGCGGCTCATCAGCTCTCTGGGCCGCCTGCCTTCAACAGAATCTTATATAGTCACACTGACTTCTGGGAAATGTGGTTTTCTGCGGAAAAGTCCTCCAGTCAACTCAAGTGCAGTATAATTAATGCCAGTTCTGTTAACGGAATTAGCATATAAATGTTGTCATCGTGTCATAAAAAAACTATTTAATGATTTTGTTACAGAAAAATATTGAAATGTGTGTACCGTAAGTCCATAAACTGCAATCGCCGCACTTGGCGGGGATAGCGCCTGAAACATATAACGATAATATAAAAACCAATATAACATATAATAAGTAAAGATGGAATATACTATGCAGGTACGCGGTCTAAGTAGTTAATTATGTTGGCGATATAGATCTGCACTGTGTGTTGCTAACCAATGAAAGCGACCGAGTCCAGAAATATTTTATTAACTTTAACTTAAAAATATAGATTTCAGTCTTTTGTGTTCGGTACAGTTGGAGTGTCTGCACATTAACATTTTTGCGTTTTCATAAGCACGCTTTTCAATTAACTATTCATGCAATATTTTAATTAATTTCATTTATGTGGCGGGTAAATTGCTGAATTTAGTGACGAGAACGAGGAAAAAACAGGCAACCCCACCTGACTGGTCACATGATCTGAACTGCATGAAAAACATGGCTTCTTGCAGAAGCCGCCAGTGACTTAATGCTTGTAAAGTTGGAGTACATGTGTAAAATACAATGTTTATCAGAGCTGTTGTTATTCTCTGTGTAGTTACTGTATGGTGTGACATAATAGAAGAGGATAACGTTGCGGTGCAAGAGAAAGAACATGTCCCTGCGGATTCTGAAAACCCAGGCTGTGGATGTAATTCTTTACGGAGGGATGGTGGAACAAACACTGTAAAAACCCATATATGGCACGATCAGGCCGCTGCAAAATATTCAAAAGCATTAAAAGAAGATCAGATTGATGGTGGCGAGCATCAACAAATCTCTGATGTACCTAAGCAGGTATGATGTAGCTGAATGACGCGATTTATTGTAGTTATCAATGACTGTCCGAACCAGTGAGAGAAGAAGCTGGGTCTCATCGTTTGGCAAATTGGTTGTCTGTTCTTTTTTATGATGAGGTTTAGGTATTCTTCTATTATACTGTCTGTCTTCCACAGATACTGTTGCTTCTATGTATCCTTTGCCACCCTTTTTCTCAATCCTGTTTATCGGTGCGGCTAACTCTTGGCTGTTTTACTTCTTTGTTGTATCTGGGGTGTTAACGGAGTTCCGCATTGCTGACGGATTTTAAATTGAGCAAGTGGAAGACTTGGTTATTTTCACTGGCGTGAAAGGTGGCAGTTTAACTATGGAAAACAATTGTCCACTATACAATAAACATTAACAATTAAGTTCATCCATTTTTTTATATTACTTTTCTTTTCATTAGTGATGTGCAGAAGTTCTTAGTTTTCCAAAGAGGCACGAAATCCGAAAAGGCCCTTAAGAAATTCACTCCTTGGTTGTCTTTGATCATTCTGTATTTAGATGGTCTGGATCCCTGCAGGGGAGTTCCTTATGGGGACAGACAATCCTGGGATTCCACAGGATGGGGAGGGACCTCAGCGGAAAGTCCACCTGGATGGCTTTTACATGGATGTTTTTGAGGTCAGCAACCTGGAGTTCCAGAAGTTTGTCAACACTACTGGCTATGTGACAGAGGTAGGATGAAGGAACCAGTAACCATTTTTCTAGAGGTATTTAAAAGTGACCAAAAAAGAAACTATACACATTTTTTATTCTTTCAGGCAGAAAAGTTTGGAGACTCATTTGTGTTTGAGGGATTATTAAGTGAAGCTGTAAAAGGCCAAATCTCCCAGGCGGTGAGTTGGTTTATTATTATTATTATTATTATTATTATTATTATTATTTTAAATCTTTTTCTTAAACAGAGTATTCAGTAGGTGGAACAGAAAAAAAATCTAAGTTTTGTCAAATGTTAAAGAACATAATCAATCAATTAAGTAACAATGATGGCTTCATGAAGAATATGAATTTCATTTTAGTTATATCTTTGTATCGTGTAAATTAAAGCATTTTACGAAGTATGTGTATCTAAATAGATAAATAAAAAAAATAGTCAGATGTCCCCTGACAAATCTTGGCTATATTGATGCCGTAGCCCAATAATTTCATTCATCTTACTAATTTAGACGCCATCAATTAGATGTAATAAATAACAGCATTTTTTTCAATATCATAAGCAAGGTATCTCTCATTTTACATAGGAAATCAAGAATTCAAATTCAAATTTTTTTTGCTTCTGCATTTGTATGTTTTACTCATGCTTATTCAATGTAAAATTTCGGATTTGAATACCGTTTGAAAAAAGTTCTGCATCGTGTCATTCTTTAAATTAATTTACTTTACATAATATATAGCTGATTATAAACTTTATATCTTATTTTATTGTCTTTTTGTCTCTGTTCTTTATGGTAGGTGGGCAGTAGAAACGTCTGTAACAGTTAACACACAGACAGGTTTTTGGAAGTGTAGCTATGAAGTCATTCACATGAAATGTAAACAGTGAGTCTTTGTGGAACTTGCACTGTTAAACACCGCTGTAGCGGGGAACAGAACACCAGCTCACCAACTTATATTCACATTCACATTCACTTGGGATCTGGAGGTGCAAGTGTATATATGTGTGCATGCATACACATGCATGTGATTATGAGGTGGTACCTAATCTCGAATCGGTACATGCTATGGGCTGACTATTGTATATTAGACCAGATAAATATTCTCATCCTTTACCTAAAATCTGTTTTTGTTGCATACCCCTTACAGTCTCAGCATACATCATTTCTCTGTTGTTGATTCCAATTCCACCTACACAAGTATGAGTCGGTCACTCATTTACACAGAATCTGTACTTTCTACTCGCTCCCAAAACAGCAGGCATTTACCACCAAGGCTTTGAAAAAGAAATGCAGGAAGATTTTGCTAAATGTTTGTATAATTTTTGTGTCAGATGGTGCTGATTATTGTCTATTTGCCTCCCAAAAGATGAGGTCGGTCTTGTTAAATTCCTTTAAGATCTAATTAGACGGCAAGAATGCCGTTATGAATTCTTAAATATGATGGTAATATATGATGTATTAAATCAGTTGAATCCCCCAGTGATCTTGAAGCTCTGACTAATTGCCTTGTAAAATATAGGGACTATTCCGGAATTTTATCCCAACTTACAATTTTTTATATGTTTGTTAATTTGCTACTGCTTCACTTCATATTCTACTCTCTTTTTCTGATTCTGTGGGATATGACCTCTATGGTTTTGTGCAGTGTTAAGGCAGTGCTGCTTGTCATGGAGTCCTAAACAGGAATTCCGCAATCATTTCATTTGTTCCATCCCAATACTTTGGAAAGAAACCCAGGTGATGCTCATTAAATTAATTGCAAAGCAAACAATTGCTATTTTAAAACAATCTAAGGCAATTTCGCTATTATTATCCTTTATAGTGGGTGTGAGTTTTTTTTTTTTTTATCATTTCATAACATCAATGATTATTACAGCTGAGGAAGTACAAAAGAAGTAGGAGGATTACATTTTTTTATTATTATTTTAAGGTTAACTGTATGAAATGTCAGGGGTGTATTTGACAGGTATCATTACTAAGTAGGTTTTCAAACTGATGAGTTGCGCAACAATAAATTGTTTGTTTTTTTCTTTTTTTTTTTAAGAAAGGACATCCTTTTTTATGGGGCCACATCTAGAACCCACACAACTGTTCTAGATATGTGAAGCATACCACATATCTCTTATGGGGAGTATTGTCCTTGAATATGTCCCCATTCTATTGATAAATTGTGTGGCATTATCTTTGACTCCGTGCACACCTATTTCAGGGTATTTACAATGTAGTCCAGTTACTGTAGCCTATTTGAAAATCCAGTTACAATTCACACCTCTCTCAAGGCACATAAAACAAAAGACATCAACACCTCCATGTGTTACAAAATAATTTCGAACTGCATAGCAACTGTTGCTGGGTACAGATACAGTGCTTCAAAATCCCCCAGTAAGTCTGATTTCCAAGACCTCACTGATATCGGTTACACAACACTGGCACACGACCAATTTTTCCATCAGTTCCTCTAGGCTTTTAGCTGTTTTCAACAAATCAGTCCGTGTAAAACTGCCTTTGTTTTGGTTCTAAAGCTGCCATTTATAAACATCTGCAAGCACCGCGTAGGTGTCCTGAAGTCATGTCCAGCAGGAATCCTTGAAAGGTAGAAGCTGCCGTTAAAACTGCCTTGTGGAGAAGCGGTTTCAATGGAAACAGGACTTGTCTTCATGCTGGTGGCTATATCAACAACCTTGCTCCATTTAGAGCTGAGTGGGGTTTGGCTTCCTCCTGATAGTTGGATATTTGTAGATCCAATAATTTAGTATGTAGAATTACTACCAATGCATGTGTTGAAAGATAATTCACATTCAATAGTGACCCCAGCATTTATTATTCTTATGTCTGACATTTTATTCTTGCTGGATCATATTGTAATTTATGGCACCAAGTTATCAAAGCCCAAGTGGGAAAGAGTGGTAGGTCACTGTTGTAATTTCTGGATATCTGTAATAACCATGATAATCTAACAGCTTTGCTTAGTATTAGTATCAAAATCAGTAACAGTATGTAAGTAATATTAGATCTCACTTTGGTTTGGTAAATGGAAGTATTCTTAAGTGTTTGTCTGCAGTCACATGTTGCACAAAGAGATGGAGATAACTAAATGGACTTGTTAGACCAATGCTATTGTGGTACTGATTCTAATCTGTTGATATACAAGTAATCTTTTAATGTTTTATTCCCACTTATTTTCCTTTAAAATACTGGCCACATTGTCCACTGATCACTGCACAGTCATGCAGTGGCCTGCAGTTACTGTTCACACCCTTCCTTTATTGTGCAGTGTTGTGCTTCAATTTCTGCTGGTGTGATTAAGGATAACAACACGAAGGTTCCTCTGCGGCTCTCAGCTGTCATGTCTTATTGTTTCATCCCTGTGGGGATTTATACCTCAAGGCTGGCAGAGTAATCGCATCAACGCTCGGTCATTGATCAAGGTCCAGCTGCTCCAGGGGTGCTGGATGCTGGGAGACCCTGTCCTCTGACCGCAAGTTTTCCTCACTTGTGCACCGCTTTGGGAAAAAGTGTCTGCAGAATGAATGTAAATACTTTGCATGCCACTGCACTACACTGGGTGTGAATAGAACTGCACAAAAATGCACATGTGCTCTGCAGCCAGTGGCATCCATTTGCATAAACTGTGCTTCCATTTTCCGTGGTCTATTTTAGTCCAGTGTTACATTCTGTATTTCCTGTAGCTGAGTCACAAACTGCTCGTGAATGTCTGTTGGCTGCAGAAAAAGTAGAGCTGTTTATGAAAAAGAGACGTGTCTGCAGTTATTAGCCAGTAAAATGTAATATGATATGCATACAAAAGAAATGTCAAAGCTGTAGGAGTGGTACTTGCTCTGGAAATGCCCACAAAAACTCAAATGTCCTCTTAGAATTATTAAAGGATTTCATTGTGGCAATCGCATAAACTTTAAGAATGATATGTTGTGTAAATAGGGTTACCAGACACTTAGTATTTTGCTTTGAGAAGACAGCACTTGAATTCTGCAAAAACTTTTCCAGGATGATTCCTGTGTAATGTAATAATAATTTCATTAAATAATATTACATGGAACCGCCCATCCCAGTGGATTTGCAACTGAACACAACAGACTGCTACCACTGGTGATATGTGTCTATGTAACTAAAGAGTTTCTTTTTCAACGTTTTAGAATCAACATCACGGCCCGGGAATGTGTAGGTGCGCCTCCTTCTTTAGATGTCAGAAAGCTTTGGACCCTGAGTCCTGCTTGAGCTACGGTTCCCACATGGATTCTCTGTATAGCAGCTGTTTCACTGTTTCACTGTCCCCAAGCTCGACTTACCTTTGTCTGCCACTGTTAGAGGAGAAATTACTCTGTGCTTGTGAATTCCCTCTAGCACACGAGCCTCTCTATGTCAATAGATACATTTCCTGTAAAGCTGTTCCCTATTCATGTTTTTTGCACATTTACTGTACTCGTTAATGTCATAGTTAGTGGCTTGTTTGTGTAGAAATGCCATTTGATTGGTGAAATTGTTGCTAATTGCTGATACAATTAAATGGCACTTGACAGCAAAATTTGGGGGTGGAAATGCCTTAATAAATGCAAAAATCGTGTTAAAATTAATCCATTAATTACGTTAGCCAGTAATAATAATGACTGATGTTTGCTGCCTATAGTTGGCACAGTAGCTCAGTGGGTTGCCTCACTTCTACTCTGCGGGTGTGAGGCTCTGCGGGTGTGAGGCTCTGCGGGTGTGAGGCTCTGCGGGTGTGAGGCTCTGCGGGTGTGAGGCTCTGCGGGTGTGTGTGATGCCGTGGCTCTGTGGGTGTGTGACTCTGTGGGTGTGTGGCTCTGTGGGTGTGTGGCTCTGTGGGTGTGTGGCTCTGTGGGTGTGTGTGGCTCTGTGGGTGTGTGTGACGCCATGGCTCTGTGGCTCTGTGGGTGTGTGGCTCTGTGGGTGTGTGTGGCTCTGTGGGTGTGTGTGACGCCATGGCTCTGTGGCTCTGTGGGTGTGTGGCTCTGTGGGTGTGT